GCCGTATTTACGCAAGGCGCTCGGCTTGCAAGACGACGTGGTGCCACGTGGAACGGGAACGAGGTACAGGGAGTGCAAGAGGAAGACGAAGCGAATGAAAACGAGGAAAATCTTAAGGAGACAGGGTGAGTCAACTCGGGATATTGGAAAAGGGCCATTTGAGGTAAGATGAATTCTTATCTTCGAAATTCCTTATCGGCGATTTTTCAGTGTCAGGACTAATCTTCCTTGAATCATCATCAAGCGGGAACCGCGTAAACGAAAAGCCAATGAAATCTTTGGTAGTGTCTCTGGCGGATGTAAATTTCATTCTCGTTCGTTGGATCCGGCAGAGTGGATTCAAACTTCATAACTTTCGTTAATCCCCGTTGATGCGAAATCCGGTTTTCCCCAAGCGAAAGCGCAACGAGGATCCCTTGTCGAGGCCAATCGGAGCGACGGTCTCGATTGGCCTGGATTTTAATGGCCCTCGTAAATATAGTGACATTAAAAACACGTAGCACATTTGGCGAGTGGGTATTGGTGCGGTGGACACACGTGCCAGCTGATCCTGCACCTTGGGCTAACGGTCATTTACGGGAGGGCCACCCCCTGGCACATAGCTACCCTTGATGAAATCGACCTCAGCCCTGCTATCTATTCGCAGATAAAAAAAGCAGCCTCGATAATCCAGAAATTAATGATAATCGCTGTCAATTTTAATTTCTCCTCTAATCACCCAATTTATTGGCATTTCGCGAGCTGTGTCCGAAAAAAAGGAGAAAAAAGCATACAGGGTATTCACGAGGCAATTTCCTACTGTCAATGTGTGTTACTTTTTTTTTCTACTTTCATATACCAAATGCGATAAACCAAACGAGGCCATAGGCGACAGCTGATTTAATATATTTCATACACGCGAAATTTAATATCGAAGTGAGAATCATGAAGGTCGGCCCCAAGCCCCATTAATTTTCACTAGCGATTTCATCCACAAGGGTTATACGTTTGGCTAGGTTCTTTGGCTGACTTTATATGAGCCAACGAGGAGAGTGGATAGTCAGAATTTTATGGTTAACACGTGGTGTGGGGGTTGTAACATAGAAGCGTCGTTTTATTGTTAGAGCTTAATGGCAACCGTCGTCGAATGACCGCACCTACGGAATAATTAAATAGTCCCTTTTGGCTATCGAAGTCAAATTACGAAAACGGAGCCAGTATGCTCTTTCTCGAACCAAAGGATATAAGATACTCGGCAAACGATTGGCAGGGAATGTAAAAGGTACTTTTAGTACCACCGGCAATTATTACTGCTACCACTAGTTTCCACTATTACTCTACCTTTCGAGGAAACAAGTTTCACCATTGATCCGTGTTTTCCAGCTGCGCGCTTCGCTGGACCCTTAAATCAGGCAATTAACCGCAGTGGACACTCCAAGAGATAGGTCCCTTGAATGGACCGGTTATGTGATCGTTTTATAGCGTATTTAAAGCCCATAGGAAGAGAGTGGGTGGGTTTTCAAGGGTGGCGGCTCAGCACTACGGGAATCCACTAGGCCGACTACACTGGCGCAGTAGGCGCAGTAGGCACAGTAGGCTCTGCAGGGAGTAGGACGAGTTGGAGAATGGAACTCCTGAACTTAATGGCTGAGCTCCGTTTTAATGGCTGTTCGAGTCGCTCGATGATACACTGCTGGGATGTGACCGGAAAGTTCCGAGCTTGTACGATCGTATGGAAGCCCAGAAGAAAGACATTAATAGCCCTTAATGGTAATCGCGCAGATTTCTCTTACGAAGTCATGTGACCCCGAGGCGTAAAATATTTTCGCAATTTTTTCTTTTAGCTTTTCTCCGCGAATAAAAACACAGTCACGCTAAATCACCTGGATACGATTTCTTTGCCACGTAAATGCGAATACTTGGCTGGAAAATATCCTGGGGGTGTGCGTAGATACGGAGCGAGGAATTCCCAAGGAAGACTTCGGGGCGAAGAAGAAAGGTAAAGACGATAACGTAAACATTGAAATCAACATAACGGAACGGTATTACGTAAGAATGCACATTCTCGCAGAAAGGTCCTTTTGCGAAATTCTTGGTATAGTTTGGCGATGGTCCAAAAGTTTGTAGCTGGTGAGGGTTGCGAGTGGGAGTGAGTGGGAGTGAGATAGAGAAGCGTGGACGGAGCGACGACTGAGTTACGTTTATGGTAATGAGGGCTGCGCAATGGCGTTGCCCAGGATAGCGACTCTCGGGTTGCGAATATAAAACGCAACCCTTATTCGGAGAACGCTTAATGGCCTAATGGGGCTGTCCAGCCGCTGGCTATCGCTAACCCTTTAGATTCGGGGGCTCGGAGATACGTGCGATTTGTACGGGACGCGTTTAAACATACTTTATGGAGTTTTTGGTCCTGCCGTAAATACTGGATTAATTCGAGTCTCAATTTTCCATCTCTTTCCATCTTTCTCCTTCTCCCTCTCGACTTTACGAATTTAGTGGAAAACTGCAAAAACTCACGGACGGGCCCATCCCAGTTGCAGTTTTCTCTCCGAGGAGCGATGAGATTGCGAATTCAAACGGGATAATAAGCACGGAGACTGGAAAGTGTAGGCCAATGAGGGAGTAGCTGTGTACACACGTGGTACAGACAGTATAAAGGCTGGTTTTCACAGACGGGGGAAAATTCTATAGAGCTACCCTCCAGCGCAGGGAACCAGCCGCCTTTCGATTTGGTTCGATAAATAATTAGCTGAAACTTAATAAGTTCGAAGCAATTTAGTCTCTCGATCATTCAGACTCCCTTCTGGAGCAGAGCTGCACACTTGTTCGCCAAACTTCCTTAGGCGCGATTCGCCATTCTGTCTGGGTCTTATTCGACGGCGCGCCGGTGGTTCCACGATGAAAAGGTAAACTTTTAATTTATTTAAAACCTCGAAAAGCCCACTCGAGTTTCCGTGTGGATCAGCTTTAACCTCTAATGAATTTTTATTCAATCCCGGAATTAAAAAGGTCGTGAATGGAGCGTTGACAGTCGAGGGACCACGTGTCTCCTATGCTTTGGCAATATACCCGAGGCAACCTTGGATTAAGTTGATTAATTCGGGATCCCAAGGGAGGAACGGGATGGGGGGAGGAAGCCCTGATTATGTATCGATGAGGTTACGCGGATATCCCTAAAAGTCTACTGGAGCATCAATTGGGTTTCGCGGATTAACTTTCGCTACCGGAAGACGATCCTAGGAAATTGTGGTTTTCATAAGCAGGAAATCCTCCCGCTCGCCACTGCTCTACAATTTCATTATACGTGTATTATGCAATCCTAACCCTTTTATTGACTCGTTATCTTTATTTTACAGATTTGTCACATTGCATCATAATTTTTTTTTCTTATCGCCCCATCCATTGCCTCTCTATATATTTATACGTGTATATTCACGCACGTAAGACAAAGTGGTACGACGAAAATAAGGAATGGAAAAAAAAAATAAGAAAAGTTTCCTCGACGCATCATCCATTCCCCTCAGCATTAAGTACAAACTTTTTACGCGACTTCTTACAGATCAAAGCGATATTACATTCTCCCCACTTTCCTTTACATACGGCATCGGTTCCTCCCCCCCCCCCCCCCCCATCCCTCTCTCTCTCTCTC